CAAATTTGCATGTGATATATTCACATATGATCACATCTTGAGATGTGCTTGAGATGAAGCACATACAAATTAATGCCCCAGGCCGGGTGCTGTGGCTCAAGCCTGTAACCCTAGCCCTTTGGGAGGCTGAGGCGGGCGGATCACTAGGTCAGGAGATGGAGACCATCCTGGCTAACCCGGTGAAACCCCGTCTCTACTGAAAAATACAAAAAACTAGCCGGGCGAGGTGGCGGGCGCCTGTAGTCCCAGCTACTCAGGAGGCTGAGGCAGGAGAATGGCGTGAACCCGGGAGGCGGAGCTTGCAGTGAGCTGAGATCCGGCCACTGCACTGCAGCCTGGGCGACAAAGCGAGACTCTGTCTCAAAAAAAAAAAAAAAAAAAAAAAAAAAATTAGTGCCCCATCTGCCCTCTGCTAACAGGACCACTGATGTCAATATCCAGAGCTTATGGGCATTACATATCTCAGGATGTAACCTCAATTATCAAAAACCTTTTACTCTCTGCCCGGTGGTTTTCTGAAAATTTTAATAATAGCATCCAATTATTTGTTGGTAAAGACATTGGCTGAATGAAAAAGAAGTAAAGCATTGTATTAGTCTTTTTTCACATTGCTATAAAGAATTACCTGAGACCGGAGAATTGATAAAGAAAAGAGGTTTAATCGGCTCACAGTTCCACACGCCCTATAGGAAGCATGGCTGGGGAGGCCTCAGGAAATTTTCAATCATGGAGGAAGGTGAAGGGGAAGCAAGAACATCTTAGATGGCAAGAGCAGGAGGAAGAGACAGAAGGGGAAGGTGCTACACACTTTTAAACAACCAGATCTCATGGTAGCTCACGCACTCTCAGGAGAACAGTGAGGGGATCTCCCAACAGGTCCTTTCTCTAACTTTGAAGATGACAATTCAACCTGAGATTGGGGCGGGGACACAGATCCAAACTGTATCAAGCATGATGAAGGATAAATGGTCTACTTCTCTACAGGCAGATGATTAAGAATAGACCGATAGTCGTGTTTATTAATTTCATCAATTTATGCAAGTCTTAAAATTTCATGTGAGTTTAAACATTTGCTGTTAGAATGTTTTAATAGTTTGCATGAGTATTTACTTGTAAGATGTAACCAAATCTATACCAGGAGTTTGTTGTTTAGTGCTATTTTAAAACATATTCTTTGAATATAATTTTAATTGGGAAATGCCTCTGCCAAAATAACCAAATACTTAAATGCTTTAGCTAACACATTATCTTCTTAAGCTATGTATGTTTCAGTCTAAGCAAAACTTTAGAACATTGCTCAATGGTGAGAGTTTTGGAACTCTTGGCATATTATTCCCTCCAAACCCATACAATAAGAGACTTGAACAAACTTTAGCACAGTTTCTAACAGCTTGAAGTCATGTACCCAGGATGACCCTAGTCCCCTTTTAAATGCTTGGCTAATACAGTGTTATGTTGCCAAGATAATTTACTTTTCGTTTCAGCCAAAACCTGCTGATAGGCAGATAGGTCCCCAAACTCCTATTCAAAGTAGTTTCTTTAGTAACTTTGCAATTATAAGTCCTTTGCCTTTTAAGATGAAAATCTACCACCCAGAGCTGCTTCCTCCATGACTTGTGAACTTATTTCAAATAAGTTTGCATTTCAAATAAATGCAAACATTTAGAGAGAAAACTCTCCTTCTCCAGTTCCTGTGGGAGAAGAGGGCCTAATTTCAGTGGGGTCCGTGCTCACTCTTGCACCACTGCCTCATGGGATAAAAATATAGAAGTTTGTTTGTCCTCTGACAAGCACCATTTAGCAAACCCAAAGGACCTATTCACATGTCCACCAAACCCCCCTGGTATCCCCAGTTGTTTTTCCCTAGTACTCACACTCCAACCTTTAAAAATTATCCTGCCTATAGTTATGGTAAATTTGAATTCGTGTCACTCTGGATTCCCTTTCTTATTAGAATCGGTATTACTAAATACAATCTGTCCTTAAGGATTTCACTACTGTCCAGCTTTGTTTATCATTGACAGTGAACAAAAATTTAATTATAACCAAATAAGTTATCTTGGTAAAGTGACCCCCTTATAGGTATATATCTGTATATACCTCATGAAAAAGGGTCAAGAGGCAGGAGGACTGATATTTTGTCTGTTTCTCCTTTACTTAAGAACTATATTAATGACTTTCCTTACCCAAAACTTTTCCTTAAATATGTTAATGTTTGCTTGTCTCAATTTCAGAAATGCAAATGAAGCTTAACTTCTATTTAGGGGACACAAACCAAAATATCTTCTTCACTCAAGAGCCATGAATTCATAATTTAGTACTTAGGTTGAAAAATTAAAGATAGATTGACTCAATTTCTTGTGATTTACTTAATTCAATTATCAGAGTTCTAAGGTATACCAGTATGTTCTTTTTGATTCACTGTTAGTGATTTGAACATCTGAATGATAGAAGTTGAAATATTAAGTATAATTTCCGTTGTTTCTTCTTCATCCTTAATACAGCCAAAAAAAAAATGTATTGCACAACTTTATACATTTGTCAACCTAAAGGAAGAAACTGAGGCAAAATTATCACAAGTATAGAGTTTATTTGGGTCATGCTTGAGGAATGTTACCTGGGAGAATAGATTCAAATTGCCCAGAATATAATGATACACTCCAATTAGTCAAGATTTTAGCAAAATAATAAAAACTCAAAAACAATGGTCAGGGCTAATAACAGATATACTATAATTTTCTTCTGAAACGTATTTTTTCTCTCTCCAGTTCCCCATTTCTACCAAAGATAAACCTTAGTAACACCAATTACTTGCAAAATAAGTTTTAGTAATATACTTGGCCTGATTATTCACATGACGTTCAACAAGAATTGTCATTGACCACATAGACTCTTTTAAGTTGGCTTTGATGGAATTTTCATATGGAATTTTGGATTAGACTTTTAAAAGCCTCAAGGCTGGTAAGTGACAGTCACTATTAGACTGTTCCTATGATACTTGAACAAATCAGGTGAATTCTTTTCTCAATGTCCCCCAAATATCTTAGGTTCCTGGACCTGTCCAAAAGTGACATTCTTTACTTCCTACAAGGTCACAAACCTTGAAAGGGATGTGTACAGGCAAGATACCAGGCCAGTCTTTCCCAGAGACTTTTTATTTGCTCTATAAAGTCAACCTCAATTCCTTAAAGCAGACTACTCCTATTGGAAAATTTGTCATTCAAGTCAAAGCTTTGGTAAAACAGCCAGTGTTTTTAATTGCGTCTTGTTATAGAAAACTTATTCTTATAGAACTCATGTTTGCCATAAAATAAGATCCTCATGAATAGTTTCCAAACTTTGAAGAAATCAGAGAGAAAGGCAAGTATTTTAATTTTTCCCGCAAGGGTATATTTTACACAATTTCTATATGCTACAAACAGCTCAAAAAGTTTTCTTTAGAAAACAAAATGTTCAAAGAATCAGCAATGTGTCAAACAAAAAGTCAAAAAAATTATTTCAGTCGTCTATCATTTCAGTTTGATGTAATTAATTGTTGTTTTGCTTGATGTTAGGTTAGCAATCTTCATGAACACGTAAAGTTTAGTAGAGTTTGGAAAGTTTTGACTTAGTCCAGTAATAAAACCTCCAAAGTCATCAGAAACCTCTATTCAAGAGTACTTGTCAGCTGGGCGTGGTGGTTCATGCGTGTAATCCCAGCACTTTGGGAGGCCTTGGGTGGATCACCTGAGATCAGGAGTTTGAGACCAGCCTGATTAACATGGAGAACCTCGTCTCTACTAAAAATACAAAATTAGCTGGGCGTAGTGGCACATGCTTGTAATCTCAGCTCCTGGGGAGGCTGAGGCAGGTGAATCATTAGAACCCGGGAAGTGGAGGTTGCAGAGAGATGAGATCATGCCCTTGCACTCCAGCCTGGGTGATAGAGTAAGACACCATCAAAAAAGAAAGGAAGAAAGGAAGAAAGGAAGAAAGGAAGGAAGGAAGGAAGGAAGGAAAGAAGGAAGGAAGGATTACTTATTTCTCAGGATATTCTCTGAATGTTCTTGAAGTAAAAGCAAATTTTGCACTGTAGTCAATTATAAACCAATTTTTGATAAGTCTCAAAGTAAAAATAATAATTATCTGTGAAATAGAAGGCTTAGAGGGGCAATGTTAAAAATGCAAATGACATGAAAATTTGGTTATTTCTGTATACATACAACAGCCTAAAATAATAATCATAATTATTACTGATAATTCATATTAAGACATATGAAAATTTTAGGAATCTGATGCTATTTTGGAATCCATATTAGTAACACATTTATACAAACACAACTCAAAAAAGTTAAACATCATTTCTTATTTGATGATAAGCTCCTCTATGATTTTAACATAACAAATGAGGAAAGTATCTCAAATATTTTATTAAAGTTTCTTTTTTTTCCTTTTTCCTGTTTCTTTTCCTTTTTTCTTTTTTTTTTAATAGAGATGAGTTTTCCCTCTGTTGCCCAGGCTAGTCTCAAACTCTTGAGCTCAAGCAATCATCCCACCTCCACCTCTTAAAGTATTGACAGGTGTGTGTCACTGTGCCCAGACCAAATTTTAAAGTTTTAAAACACTTAATCAATATAGTATCACATGTTACTGTAAAATAATCATCAATGATTTAGACAAAATGATAATTTAAAGATTTCAGATAGCAAATCTTTTACTCTTTGGTTGAGAGGAAAGTCAGCTGTCCACATAATCAAATAATCTAATAAAGACAGCATGAGACTAACATAATCTGTCTTCCCTCTTTTATTTTTACATTTTTTGCAGATTACTCAAAAGGTGAACTCAAGTCTTTTATTATGTCTTATTATCATGATACGAAAATCTTGTTTAAAAGAAAACCAAACTTAACCTTTTCATCACTATATTAATGATAAAGCTAATTTGAATGAATAAAAGCTTACAAACAAATCAATCTAATCTCAAACAGTTTTGACAACAGACAATAAGGTTTCCATAAGTTTTTCAGAATCTCTAACATTTTCTATTAAAGAGCAGATCAATGTTTTTAGAAAATTCTGTTATTCCTACACAGGGACCCAGACTGTGGCCTAGCATTAGTGTCCCTTGATATTGACGCTCAATTTTTAGAGAAACTAATCTCATTTTACCCAACTTGATCACACACAAGATTTCTTCCACATGATTAATCTTCTACAAACCATCTTCAAGTTACTCAGACCTTCAGTTTTGTCCGGTAATGCTTTTCTATATTGGCACTCTACCTTAGGGCAAAAATTTAGTTTCTTTTCCTCCTTATCCGTTTGACAACACAAAGTTCCTTGTCCTGAAAAAGAAAAAAAAAAAAATACTGTCTCTTTTCAGCTTTGTTTAGATCTTACTTTCTTTATAGCTCTGCATATAACATTGTTTCTCTTATACTAGTTTTTATTACATACATTAACTGCAATTTTAACTCTTAGTAACCCTAATTTTCAGTGAAAAAAACTAGGAAGTAAGTGATTTTGAATGGTTTTATACCAGTATTTATAGGTAAAAACATTACCTATTTTCTAGAAATATGTTTTCTCAATTTTTGTTTATGAACAGATCTAAATTTTTATCTAACTTTTTTATACCATATACATCATGTCTCAATATATTTAAAAAAATCACAATTTTATTAAGCATCTTCTTGGACTGCAGCAGAATAAAATTAGAAATAAATATTGACAGGAACTGGTGAAACTCCACAAGTACATGGAAACTAAACAACCTTATTTTAAATGATTCTTGGGTAAACAACAAAATTAAGGCAGAAATAAAAAAAAAAAAAAACAATTTATTGTGAAATATAACATACCCAAATCTGGGGGAAACAGCAAAAGCAATGCTAAGAGAGAAGTTATAGCATTAAATGCCTACATTAAAAAAAGAGAAAGATCACAAATTAACAATGTTACACCTCAAGGATATATAAACAAAATAATTAGAAAAAAAGAATAAACCACACCCAAAGCTAGCAGAAGAAAAGACATAGCAAAAATCAGAGCAGAATTAGATGAGGTTGAGAGTAAAAAAAAGATACAAAGAATCTATGAAATAAAAAGGTGCTTTTTTGAAAGGATAAACAAAATTGATAGACTCCTACCTAGTTTAACTGAGAAAAAAGAGAGACAATTCAAATAAGCACAATCAGCAATGATAAAGGTGACATTATAGTTGATACCACAGAATTACAAAAGATCCTCATAAGTTACTATGACCATCTCTATGTGCACAAACCAGAAAATGTAGAGGAAATCGTTAAGTTCTTAGAAACATGCAACTTTCAAGATTGAAACAGGAAGAAATAGAAAATACTGAACAGACCAATCATAAGTAATGAAATTGAATTAGTAACAGAAAATCTTTCAACAAAGTAAGTCCAAGACTAGAGAGATTCACAGTTGAATTGTATCAAACCTACAGATTAAAGCTGGTTTCAATCTTATTGAAATTATTGGAAGAAATTGAGAAGGACTGATTTCTAACTCATTCTATGAAACCAGTATCACCCTGATATCAAAATCAGGCAAGGACATAACAACAACAACAATTTGGGCCTGTATTGCTAATGAACTAAGATGCAAAAATCCTCAGCAAAATGCTAGCAAACCAAATCCAACTTTGCATCCAAAAGATAATTCGCCATGATCAATAGGCTTTATATTCTAAGCATGCAAAGAATGATTGAACATTTAAAGTCAATAAATATAATCCACTGCATAAGAAGAATTAAAAATGAAAAGCATATGATCATTTTAATAGACACAAAAAGCACTTGATAAAATCCAACATCCCTTTATGATAAAACTTTCAAAAAAATAGGCATCGAAGGACCATACCTGAAAATAATGAGAACCATATAAGAAAAACCCATAGCCAATATTGTGCAGAAATGATAAAAAGTTGAAAGCATTCCCTCTAAGAACTAGGAAAAAACAGGGATGTCTACTGTCACCACTCCTATTCAACATAATACTGGAAGTCCTAGGAGAGCAATCAGGCAAGAGAAATAAAAGGCATCCAAATAGAAAAAGAAGAAATCAAACTATCTATCTTTGCTGACAATCCTAAAAACTCTGACAAAAGGCGCCTAGAATTAATAAATGACTTCAGCAAAATTTTAGGACACAAAGTCAATGCACAGAAGTCAGTAGCATTTTCAGACATCAACAAATTCAGGCTGATAGTGAAATCAAGAACACAATCCCACTCACAATAGCCATTAAAAAAAAAAAAAAAACCTAGGAATACATTTAACCAACGAGATGAAATGTCTTTAGGAGGAAAACTACAAAACACTGATGAAAGAAAGTATGGATGACAAAAACAAATAGAAAAAACTGTCCATGTTCATAGATTGGAAGAATGAATATCATTGAAATGACCATATTCCTGAAAGCAATCTCAAGACTCAACAAAATTCCTATGAAATTACTAGTATCCTTCATCACAGAATTAGAAAAAACACTACTAAAGATCACATGGAACCAAAAAAGAGCCCAAATAGCCAAAGCAATCCTAAGCAAAAAGACAAAGCAGGAGGCATCACATTACCTGACTTCAAATTATACTACAAGACTACTGTGGCTAAAACAACATGGTGCTAATACAAAAATAGACACACAGAATAATGAAACAGAACAGAGAATCTAGAAATAAAGCCACATACCTACCACCAACTGATCATTAACAAAGTCAACAAAATTTAACAATGGGAAAGAACACCCCAGTTAATAAACAGTGCTGGATAATTGGCTAGCCATAAGCAGAAGAATGAAACTGGACCCCTATCTCTCACCACATACAAAAATTAACTCAAGACAAATTAAATAAAACATAATACCTGAAACTATGAAATCTTAGATAAAAACCTAGGAAAAGCTCTTCTGGACATTGGCTAAGGCAAGTAATTTATGAGTAAGACCCTCAAAACAAATACAACAAAACCAAAAATAGACAAAAGAGACTTAATTAAACTAAAAGACTCTACAGAGCTAAAGAAAAAAACAGAGTAAAGAGACAATCTACGGAGTGGGAGAAGATTATACCAATTATGTCTCCAAAAAAGACTAATATCCAGAATCTACAAATAACTGAAACAAAACTCAACAAGAAAAAAACAGATAACTCCATTAAAAAAAGGGCAAAGGGCATGAAAAGATATTTCTCAAAAGAAAACAAACAAATGACCAAGAAACATGAAAAAATGCTCAAAATCACTAATCACCAGAGAAATGAAAATTAAAACCACAAGGATATATCATTTTATACCAGTTAGAATGACTATAATCAAAAAGTCAAAACAACAACGTTGGCATGGAATTAGAAAAAATTAAAGGAATCCTTATGCATTCTTCTTGGGACTATAAATTAGTAAAACCTCTGTGGAAAACAGTATGGAGATTTCTCAAAAAACTAAAAATAGAACTGCCATTCAACCTAGCAATCTCACTACTGGGCATCTACCCAAAGGAAGGGATATCATTATATTGAAAAGATACCTGCGCTCGTATGTTTATTACAGCAATATTCACAACAGCAAAGTCATGCAATCAACCTAAGTGTTCATCACCTGTGGACTAAATAAAGAATACGTGGTATATAACCACCATGGAATACAATGCACCCATAAAAAGAATGAAATTATGTCCTCTGCAGCAGCATGAAAGGAGCTGTAAGTCATTATCGTAGGTAAAATACATCAGACAGGAAGTCAAATACCACATGTTTTTACCACTAAATGAAAGATAAAAAATGGGTATACATGGACTTAAGGATAGAAATAATAGACACTGGGGACTTGAAAATGAAGCAGGTTGGGAGGGAGGGTGAGTGTATAAAAGTTACCTATTGGGTACAATGTTCACTATTTGGATGATGGGTATAGTAGAAGCTCTAATCTCACCATTACACAATTTATCTATATGAGATACCTGCACATGTACCTCCTAAGTCTAAAATTTTAAAACAAAGGAAAAGAAAATAAAACAAGGGAAGAGCTGCCCACCTCATATCCCTCTAAAAAAAAAGACCTGTAAAAGTGACCTAGGGTATGGGGGAGGCAGTGTTGGCTGAGAAACACTTCCTGCAATGTCAAATAAGGAAAATTAGAAACCCGAAAGAAAGGTCCTGGAAGCAGCATCTGCCATAAATAGGAAACCCCACCCTTTGCCTTTTCAATTTTCTGAGTTCTTTTCAAGTGATTGCTAATTCATTGATTATTAGAACATTGTGCAAGCTCAGAGAAACATCTTTGTGAAGAACTTCTAATGGTGTCAAAAAATAGTAAATGTAATATGAAGCAAAAAAAGAAAGATCAGAAGAGGGCTTTTCTAAGTTCTTTACCAAGAATTTACATTAAAGTAACAAATTATTAATTTACTAAACATTTGTTTTTTTAAATCATAAAGTCTAGGAACATGGAGATAATTGATGAGGCTACTGGTCAGGAACAAAATGACGTTAAACAATTGCCCTTAGGCATGAAGTGGGATGAATGAGGTCTCATACTCATGTCTCTCTGGGCCTGCATACCTCACAGAGCTCAGACTTCTCTGAGTTATTTTTCTTTTCAACAAAAACAACGGAAAAGCTGTCTGCCTCAAAATCAATTGATCAGACACATATATACACATGAACAAACATATACACATGACTTCTCTTTTCCTCCTTTTTCTTTATTGTATGTCAAGTTTATTAAAATGTTATTGTTTGAAATGCATTTCCTTAGTTATTACAGGTATTCATCTTAAAAACATAATGCTTGTATTAAAAATAACTCATCTAATACAAGATATAAATGTGGGAAACATATTTGGGAAATAGAAAGTTAATCAGAAATAGAAAAAGGTATATAACAAAATGTGATGAAAACAAGGTTTCACTTTTTCTTAGGGTGGGATATGGGGATAGAGGATGGGAAGAAATTGTATCTTCTTATATAAGTCTTAACTATTATTAAAATAATAGTTATGTCACTATAACAAGACATGTTACATAGCCTAAAATGTATTAAACAAAGAAATGGACAAGTTCTCTATTGATTCTATATCTTAAATTGCAATAAAAAAGTTCAAAGAAACTATCTTTTAAGTCACAATTTTAATTTATATTTACATGTAAGTCACAATTTATATTTACTTTTTTTAAATATAAAAATTTATATTTTTTATATTTAAATTTTTATATTTATATTTTATATTTATATTTTTAAATATAAAAATTATCTTCTGTGATGAGTAAATGGGAAACATTTTATCACCATTTTTAGGAAATGGCTTTTTTGAATTGTATATGAAC